CCCCCCCCCCCCTAGATATTGTTTGTCTTCCCATGACACACGAATACTTCAATTACAAAATACTGCATTTGAAGTACAGAGGAACTTCTGCAAGTTAAACTCTGGAGGGGTCCACAAAAATTTGACTCAGAAAATTCTAGTGAGAGAAACTGAAATATTTTCAAAATTTGACTCAGCAATATTGCCTATCAAATTACAGTTTGACCTTCTAAACAATTAAATACAGATGACCAGCAAACAATCTGTTGTAGAGAGAATTTTGTTGCAGACAGAAAATTCAATCATTGTAAAAAGAGTTTATCTTTCTTCAATTTTTAATCAAAAAACCGACTGCAGTCTTTCATTCCAAAGCAAAAAAATGATTTTGAAGGATCCCATCTTTTCTCTGACTTCCCTGACGATTTTCAACATCATGCCTTGATTCATTACCATTGAAAATGGTCATTTTGCCAGCTGTTCCAGTGGGAGGATCAGGGAGTGGTCAGGCAAAAGCGGGATTGACACCAATCACACACAGTGGGCGGTGACCACACCCAACACCCACCCACTTCCCCTCCATGGGTGTCCGTCCCCCGACAGACCAACAATAGGTAAACCGAGTGAATAAAGACAGTCGAGTCCCTTTTGATAAGAGCATCACATAGCTGAGAGAGCAGTGTGATTTGAATGCCTAAAAATCCCTGGGATCTCAGCCGAAAAACGGAGGAGGCCGGGGGAAGGAATTTAATTGGGCGGGGGGGTCGGGCGCGGAGTCGATGATCCGCCCGTTCCCGCAAAAGGTGACACCTCAATTTTCTGCCACAGAGCAATTATCACGCGCGGTCGGGTATCTTTCACTGCTACTGTATTCTGCGAAAAACCACGACCCGACGTCTCCTCCCCCCCCTTTTCAAAACCCCACCAGTGTTTGGTATCAACTGCATTTCCTTACATCTTTTTTTTTTCTAGCTCTCTCTCTCAATCTTCCGTATTCACCAGATCATTCATTTGATTCACCCATCTGCTGGTGTGCCTGAATATAAATTTCATTGATATTCAGAAAGGGAAGCCATCAGAGGAAATATGAAGAGAGGAGAGTGGGTTGGATTTTTGTTTTCCATCAGGGGGGGGGGGGGGGGGCGAGGTTTCCAGTGGCTTCCAGATTGTGTCAATCGTCACTGAGCCCTCGAGAAAACGAGACAATCCAGGTGAAGACTGTGGACTATCTAAGGCATTTGAAGCGTGAAACACAATGGATGCTTCAGCCCTTTCCTGACTTTCCCCCAGTGACAATACTGTATTTCAATTTAACGTACTGTACAGTACAGTAAAGTAGAGTATTATTGTAACGAATGCATGGCTTACCAGGGATTTGTTTTATATGTCTCTGTTGATTCGCTGAAATATTATTTGAATTTATTTGCACAGATAATTGATCTTTTCAGCAACAACATTTTTTCCAAACCCTTATGCTTGTGTTGCAACAAGATTTTCGTGTATAGTACAGTATTTTGAAAAATAGAGGGGGCCTCGCTGCTGCTCGTTCAAAAGCACGGTGATTTTGACCTAGTTGGAAAAATATAAATATATTGCAATATTCTCCCGATTATGAGTACAGTATTTGCAGATAAAAAAAATTGTTTTTTAAGACCCTGCATAATGAGAAGATGAAAATTTCCTGTTTCGGCCAGAGTTCCTTGCTCATTTAAGAGTACAGTATCCTTAAAATGAGACTTAAAAAGGCGAAATTTTGTTATTGCGTAGACTACTGGAGAAAATATTCTGGCCCTTCCAAAATAATACACTACAGTACAGTACTTAGTTATTTAATTAAAAATCCCTGTGCATAAGAATGCTTAAAAATCAACATTGTGTGCTGTGAGTACTGTATGTTCTGCAAGCAATGAAAATGTGGTATTGTGAAGAAATGTGAGCTTGAATTTTTTGTGTGATTACGAGTGAGCTTAAAATACTGTATGTGGACTTCTTGGCCACACGGCAATGAAAGTAAAAAATTGTGAAATTGTGTTCCTATTTTTTTTATTGCGAAATGGTCATCTTTTGATACTCTTTGGTGTCACCTCTATTACTGTGATGACTGATTTTTCAAGACTTGGAAGTTTGACCAAAATGGTCTTGTGTTTTCATTGTGAAATAAATGTGAATAAAGCTTTTCTGTATATATATATATGCAGTGAGACCCCCAGATGTGGACATAATTTAGGCATCAAGCGTGTCCCAAAGTTGAGTCTTGTTTTCCCATAGACTTACATTATATAAGTTTTAGTTGGTGTTTTATGCAAGAAATAACCTACAGAATTCTATGAAAGAAAAATTGTTTGCCTTTTGAATTTGATTCAGTGAATATCCTTTCAACCCAATGAGAACATTTGGAGCATTGAATAGTATACCAATGTTCAGTCCATTGAAATGTTGGCATCTGTAAAAATAACATACAAGTCACAAAAAGAGAATGAAAACTGTCCATGCTATAGGTAATTTTTTTTAATTAGCTGAATGGATGGGAAAAGTACCAAATAATTTTTCTTGCATAGATCTTAGGGTTGGAAATATCTGTTTCTTGCAATTAAGCCTAATGAAAGTCACTTTTTTAAAAATGTATTGGCAATTTTATCATTCAATGTCCTTGATGTTGAGTCAGTGTCCGTATATTGGGCCTTGTTATGGTTTATTTATTGAAAAATAAATGCCTCATGTCAAGGTGTCTGCATGTGGGGGTCTCACTGTATATGTATATATATATATATATATATATATATATATATATATATATATATATATATATATATATATATATATA